CTTCTGTGTCTATTTCCTTACTGACTGCAGACTTTCAGGTTACGTAAGTTTTCTGATTATTTTTTCAAATAGGTTTTCACTTTCTGCTCTTCTCTCTTCCTTCCAGTATCCCTTTGAAGGAAATGTTGATATGCTTGAAGTTGTTCCAGAGGCTTCGTACACTATCTTCATTTTTTAAAATCCTTTTTGCTTTTTTGATTGGGTGTTTTTTGCTTCTTTATATTCCAAATCACTCATTTGATCCTCTGCTTCATCTCCTCTACTATCAATTCCCTATAATGTATTAGTCATGTCTGACTGGTTCTTTATATTTTACTGCAAGGAAGTAGCCCTTTGAATTAAATCATATTTGCCAAATTGACCTTATGAGACTCACCTGTCCTACTTGTTAAGCTCCATTCTCCCAAGACCCCTGTGGGGAGGGAGTTGTGGACCTTCCCTTGTTTTTAATGGGCTCCAGATGACTTTTATGATCAGGCATATCTGAGCTAGGTGAGACAGCCATACAGGTTGACCTGGGGGATTTTGTGGGTTTGGTTCCAGATCGCAATAAAATGAGTAACTGCAGCAAGCAATTTGTAATCTTTCTGATGGTGGAGGGTTTTGCCTCCAGTTTGTGAAGAGTGCAACATCTGTGAAGTGCAATAAAATGAACCATAATTAAACAAGGTGCGTCTATATTTTACTTATGAAAAAGCCAATTGAATGAAGAAGTCATGCATGCAGAGAGTAAACAGAACCATGTGGATGTGTACTCAGGACTTCAGATCTCTGGTTCTTTACACTGGAAGTGCTGGCTCTGCAGTTCTTTTGTTCTTGAATAAGTTAAACTTTCATCTTTTTCATAGAAACGTCAAAATAGGTTGAGTCAGTCAGGGGAACATAAATGACTTTATATTTTCCCAGTTGGGGGAGCTCATTTTTCATTTCTACTTGATGTTTATTCTAAATGCCATCTCTTATTGCTGTCCTCTGATTTATTGCTGCATTCAGCCTGAGGACTTTGTTTTTCAGCAATATCTGTCTCCCTGATGCCATTTTTAGTTGCTAGCATGTCAATGTGCATCTCTCTCATAGACTGTGATTAGATACATTAGTCTAAATTGTAGCATATATAATGCATTTTTGTATATGTGTATGGGACTGTTCAGTTTCAGCCACAGCAGAAGAGGTACCTCCCTCCCTTCTAGAAACATGCTTGGGAAGGAGCCCATAGTTTCTATTATGGCTAGTTTGTAGCAGACAGAAGGATGAAGCATACATTTTTATTTCTTAGAATTTTTAAAAATTGATTTGAGAGAGAGAGAGAAGGAGGAAAAAACCATCAAACTGATGGTTTCACCCATTCATGCATTCATTGGTGGACTCTTGTATGTGCTTTGACCTGGGATTAAACCTGGAACCCTGATGCAACAAGAGGATGCTCCAACCAACTGAGCTACCCTGTTAGGGGCAGGATATTTACTTATTTATTTATTGGACACCTGATAGAGTTTGTTAGGGGATTTTCTGATATTCCCGTTAAGAGGGGCTAAAATAATGAATGGTACCCCATTCAAATCAAAGGACCAGGTGACTAAGTAGCAATAGTAGGTAAGAGAGTGATGTGCTTAATTGTTCCTCCCACGTTTGTATTTAATTATTGCTCAGATTTACAGGTACTGTCTAAATACAGTTCATAGTCTGAAAATATCTTGTTTATTTTAAAAAGCTGAATTTTTGACTCAGTTAAAAATAAGTTTTCAGGGAAAGAATAGTTAGGTGTTAAACTCCAAATTACCTATTCAAATGTGTTTTTTATATGTACATAGGACACATGCATATTTTGTTGATGGATTTTCTTTATTTTGAAGGTGAAAGCTAGAATCTTATCATTCTTCTCTGTTTACCTCTAGAATAAATAGCTACATATTTAGAAAAAGTATGGCTTGTTGTTATTGTTATTTTAATAACTAAAACATCTAGGATAATAAATGAACAGTGTTCTGAATTACAAAAAATAGTTACTGAGCTGTTCCAGTTGTCTCATTAATTTTTTCATGGGTTAACACTTGTTGCTTGCACTGAGTTCTATTTAAATTAAAATTATTTTTTCAACCATTTATTTGTGGTTAATGATTATTAAACATAATAATTAGACATTTGTTCAGTGGGGCAAGGAGAAGGGGGTTAACTTGGTTCTGAATCCTGGATCTCCAAGTTAATTATATTTTAGTGCTTTTACTTGTAAAGTGGCACATTTAAGATATGAGTTTTTATAACCTTCATTATAAAATAATTTTCTTGAGGTATCCTTCTCTCCCAACTCCCAACTGATTTCTTTAGAAAGCAGATATGGGGAGGGAAGTCAAGTTGCTCCCTTTCTTTCAGTTTGTTATCTAAAATTACTAGAGTTTGTAGTGTGGCAAAAATTTTTATCTTCATAAATTACACTAAGTTACCACTTGAAATATTCAAAGTTAGAATTGGTGTATAGCTTGGAAACTAAATGAACAATTTTATTTATTTGTTTGATAAATTATTTGGAAGGTTTCAAATGAGTTTACTTAAACTGTTTTGTCTTGGTCAACTTGTAGCTTTACTTTTAATTTGGTGCATCATACATCAAGTGAGATAGAAAAGACAAAAGTTGTATTTATCCTAACCAGGAACATAACTATATGTGCGTGGAATCTGCATGGTCTTTGAAACAGACAAATATACCTAGTAAATTTCCTAGAACAACTGTACAACACAGGCAAAAGGAATAGTAGCTGCAAAGGCTCCAGAGGAAAACCACACATGATGTGTTTGAGGAATTGGGGGAGTCAGTCTGAGGGTATCGATTTTGGATATGTGAACTTTGAGCAGTCTCTTAGACAATCTAAGTCTGGTAGGCAGTTAGATATGTAAGTGCGGAGCTTAGGGAATGGCTTGGAACCAGAGATAAAAATTTGGGAGTTGCCAGCATATAAATGGTATTGAAACTATGATACTGGATGAGACCACCAAAAAAAGGTACGCATAGGCAGAAAATATATTAAGATATAGGAGAAATGAGGAAGAACTAGAGAATGAAGCTGTGAAAGAGTAGGTTAGAAGAGAAAAATAGCAGGAGAGATGGTGTCCTGGACACCACGTGAAGAGTATGTTTCATGGAGGGCAGGAGAAGTAGCTGATCAGGTCCTGCTAGAATGTCAAGTGAATGGAGACCTCATTGTGGGGTTTTCCAATGTGAAGGTGATGAGTGACTCCAGCAAGAACCTGTTCAGTGGAATGGTACAGGCAAAAACTTGATTAGAAATAGTTCAGGGCAAGGGGAGGAGAGGATTTGGAGACATGGAGTATATAATAGCTCTTTCAAGGCATTTGTTCCAAATTGGGCAAGGAATGAACTAGAAGCTAGAAAGAGGAGAATGGTTGTTTCTGTTTCATCTGTGTTGGTTTTTATGTTAGGAGAAAGCATAGCCAATTGCTTGCTTACTGAGGGGATACTGAGGGGAATGGTCTGGTAGAGAGGGGAATAATTGGTGTGATGACAAGAGGAAATTTGCAGGAGTGAGTCCTCCTGTATACATGATGGAGAGATCTCTTGCCTAGGTGGAAATGCTGGTGGTGGATGATAGTATGGACTGTTCACCCACAGTAACAGGAGTGAAGGGAGAATACATGGATCCAGGTACAGATAAATGGATAGAGGTGATGGTGTGAAGCAATCTGTTGGATTATTTCTGTTTTCCTTCAAGAAATGGGTAGTACAATACCTGAGATGCATGAGCTTGGAAGAGCTGGTATCAGGAATTTGAGGAGAAATGAGAAATGTAATAGTTAACCTAGGTTAGTGGGCAAGTGGATGGACTAGGGCAGTGTCATATGATTGTTGAGCATCATTAATAGTCCTTTTTAGCTTGGTGGTCAGAATTAAAGTGAGACCAGTCAGCATGGTTATGTTATTCTTCAGCCACATTCAATGCACAGATGTAAGACTTAAAAAGGGCAGAAAGTTAAATTTAACTAGGATTGGAGTTTTGCCAGTCAAGTGTGAAATGCAAGAGAGGGATAGAGGTTGAGGGTGTAAGAAAGGGAGTGCTTAAAATAAAGAAATGCTTTATTTAGTATTTCTTTCTAAATACTACAGAAAGTGCAATAAAGCACTTGGTTAAGAAAGAAATGAAAGCCTAATGGTAGTAAAGGTAGGTGATAGGATCAATGGTTTGTAGGTTCTGGTGGAGTCACCAGTTTGTTGGAGTCAGGAAAGTAGAGGAAATGAGCAGGAGAGAGGGGTAGTTGTCTAGGGGCCCAATGCTTGAAATTTCACTGGGAGAGGGAAGTTGTGATTGGTAGTGACAAGGACTAGAGTCTGACCATGGGAGTGGCTGAGGCAAGGTAGATCACAAAACCCCAAAGAATTTGTTAATAGTGACAGTAAACCAGGAGCTAAAATCCTCATGGGATTGGGCTAGTAATCCAGGGGTTGGTAAACAATCGCTGGAGGGGTGATAAATGGAACAATCTATTGAGGATTTTTAGAGAGGAAAGTAGTCTGGGAATGGTGACGAGGTGCAAGGAATACACCTACTCCATTACTAGGCCCAGTCAGTGGCCAAGAGTATGGAGAAAACAATTTTTGCTTTTGAAGCAGCGTCCTCAGGGAAAGCCAGATTTCATTAGAAAGGGAAGGAAAGTGCACATTTAGGGAATACTTCAGGGTTTGGAGAATGATAGAAGAGGACAGAGTAGGGAATGTTGAGTTCCATATGGGGATTAGAGTGTAGGAATGAGGGATGACCTAGGAGTCCGGCACTTTTCATAAGTGACGTAAGCAGTTAAAGGTCATAGTGCAGTTCGTTTGGAGGGCTAAAGACAAATTGTGGTGCCAAGAAAATTTGGTGTTGTGAGAAGGTGGGTCCCACTTTCATGTAGGTAGATGCCAGGGAGGGTTTTCTTTTGAGTGTGTGGAGTAAGTGCTTAAAAGCTTAGACGCCTTTTACATTTTTTCCTATGAATTTTTAAATTTACAGATCATTAGTGATTATCAGCACTTTAGATGGGCGAATTGCTGCCTTGGATCCAGAGAATCATGGTGAAAAGCAGTGGGATTTGGATGTTGGATCTGGTTCCTTGGTTTCATCCAGCCTTAGCAAACCAGAGGTAAGAATTTTCTGTTAAATGTTGATATTTAATGGAAAAACTCAGTTATAATGAGCAATTGCTAATATTAATATTATGTATTTAGAGCTGGAGAGCTCAGGGCCCCATTGCCTAGGTGTGAGGCCTGCCTGCCTGTTACCAACAATGTCCCCCCGAGGCAATTACTTTCCTGTTCCTCAGTTCCCCTCTTGTAATAAGGTAGGTGATAATTATGTAATCACCTACTTCTTAGGGTTGTTTGGGCATTAAATGAGTTAGTCATATAAATGACTAAGGATACTATCTGCTATATCAGTATAGCTCATTATCTGAGCTATAACATCATTTACTATTATTACATAGACCCTAAATAATAAAATAAATATATGTACTTTAACTGTGCTTTAATAGAAATACAGGGTTGGCAAAAGTAGGTTTATAGTTGTAAGTAAGTGAAACACAGAATTTATTCTTGTATTATTTATGTATTATTTTCCGTACTTCTTTCCAGCCCCTTCTTGCCTGTAAGGTCTCTTTTGAGAAATCTGCTGATAGTCTGATGGGAACTCCTTTGTAGGTGACTGTCCCCTTATCTCTTGCTGCTTCTAGGATTCTCTCCTTCATTTTAATCTTGGCTAATGTAATTATGATGTGCCTTGGTGTGTTCCTCCTTGGGTCCAACTTCTTTGGGACTCTCTGAGCTTCCTGGATTTCCTGGAAGTCTATTTCCTTTGCCATCTTGGGGAAATTCTCCTTTATTATTTGTTCAAATAATTTTTCAACTGGTGGTTGTGCCTTTCCCCCTTCTGGTACCCCTATAATTCGGATGTTGGAACGTTTAAAGATGTCCTGGAGGTTCCTAATCTTCTCCTCATTTTTCTGAATTCTTATTTCTTCATTCCTTTCTGTTTGACCATTTTTTTCTTCCTTCTGGTTCTCTCCCTTGATTTGAGTCCCAATTTTCTTTCCATTACTATTGGAATCTTTTGTATCCCCATTCATTTCAATTAATTTAGCTTCCATATGTTTCTCTAATTTGTGGCTAAAGTCAACCAGTTCTGTAAGGATCCTTATAACCAGTGTTTTGAACTGTGCATCTGAAAGACTGGCTATTTCTTCATCACTTAGGTCTATCGGTTCTGGGGCTCTGAGTTGTCCTAGAGCCATTTTTGGTCTGTTCGCGCTGTTAAGTGAGCGGAGCGAAGCCTTAGTTGTTTACCAGGACGGGAAGACCCAGGTCGCTGGTTTGTGACGCTGTGTGTGGGGGCGTGGTCAGAGAGGGAGCAATGGCGTTCCTCTCCTTCCTCTACGCTAGCCCAGCGTTTCTAGTCACTCCGCACGCCTGGATAAACCGGAATTGCGCGAGCCTGCTGCCCTGCGCCGGCTTCCCTTCTCACTGGCTTCTCCGCACGTAAATGCGCGCGACTGAGCGACCCACCGCGCCCCTTCTTTGTGCGCTCCGGCAGCCAGCTCGCTCGCAATTGCGCCCTCGGTTCCCTGCGCGCACCGCGCACCGCCCCGGGAATTTTTTCTTGCTAACCTGCTCCGCTGCTGGCCTGGCTCCTCGTACCGGTCCAGCCGAGTATTTAGTTGTTCTTTGGACTCCGTATTGTCGATTTTCCGTGTGGCTTGGTTGTGACTGCTGTTAAAAATAGTTGTTCTTAGATTTGGTTGTGCACAGAGGCGAGGTGGATCCTCCATCTACGTCTCCATCTTGGCGGAAGTCCTCGAATGCAATTGTAGATAAATTTGATTATTTGCAAAAAAGAGACCTTCCAAAACTACTCGGTCTCATCAAGACTTGGGGAGGTTGCTTAGCCCCTCGGCATTAGTGTCCTCATCTAGAAGGTAAGGACACTGCCTGCCCTGATGAGGTTAGGGGAGTGAGTAAGTGTGTTACCGAACAACAAGAGGTCCGAGGGAGGGGCAATACAGTATTTGGCCCACCTAGGGATGCCCAAAACTGCTCTACAACAGGGGCCCCTCCCAAAAAACAGAATACTAAAATCTACTGGGCCCTTCTGTTCGCCGCCAATTGGAAAGACATCTCTTAATGCCAGAGATTTGTGAAAAGGAAACAAAATGTTTATTTAATGCTATTCAGGCCTAATGCCACCACTAAAATATCAAAGTCCTTTAGGGTATATACCTACACCCACACAGCGCGGCCGATGTGGCTGGCGTTGCCTTCATCCCAGGCCGCACTGGCACAAGCAAGGCTGCCGTGGCAGAGGCGGAAGGCCCTGCAGTGGAATATCCGGTCCGATCTTCCATTCCCAGAGGCAAACGCACACTGCCCGCAGCTCCTCGAGAGGGGAAGGGACGGGAGTGGTCCGGGTCTGCGAGTACAGAGCCCAACTCTGGGTACCGTAAATCAGGAAAAGAGCACACGTCTGTGTTGCAGGCCGCTGGCACCGTCAGCTGTGTCACTGTGCAGGATCTCGAGTTAATCCAAAGTACTGTGGTACCCTCTCATGGTCCACTGGCAAGAGTCCTTTGTACCCAGTTCCAGTCAAAGTCTCTCTTGCTTTTTCAGGCCCCGCAGCCAAAGGGGGCACCCCAAAGCCGCGTGGGCCTCTTCTACCAAAGCTGCAGGGGTTCGCACTCCACCAAAAGCATGTGGCTTTCTTCTTCACCTGGCTGCAGGGATCTCCATTCTGGCAAAGCTGCGTGGTTTTTCCCTTTCACCCGGGAAAGATGGGGTCCGCACCCTGCCAAAACCACGTGGCTCCCTCTTTCACCTCACCAAGAGGGGGTCCTCACTCGGCTGAAAACCGCGTGGCTCTCCCTACATCTGGCCAAGCGGGGGCCCTTCATGTCTTGGAGCCAGTCTTTTCCAAGCTCCCACACAGGCCTTCTCACTCCGGAGCACAGACCCTAGTTTCATCCTGAGTCCAAGCCCCTCACTCAGGAGCGTAGCCCCTAGTTTCCATCTTGAGTCCCAGCCCTTCTCACTCCGGAGAGCAGCCTCTCGTTGCCATTCTGAGTCCAAGCCCTTCTCCCTCGCCCCAAACTTGGCCACTGCTATTTAACATACCTATGAAACCAGTTAAAGGTTATAGATATGTTAAATAATCATTCCAGAGGTTAGCTGCAAAACTGTTGCTATGCAAAACAGCTCTCAATGGCCCTGCTCCATTAGTTTCTTCCCCGGGTGGGGGGGGGGGGATTGAGGACATCTTATATGTCTCTCCAATATTCCTATACACTTTGAATTCTGGACACTATTCCAAATCTTTTTTGGGGGGCGCCCCTGGCTGCACCCTGTATCAAGTGCAGTAAGTGTTTTTTCTCCTTTTTAGTCTTGGCTCTGGTAGATCGTCTCTCTCCTTTTGTGGAGGTTTATTCTCTTGTTTAAATTGTTTAAAATAAGTTCTTCTTTTTAGTTGAGACTACCAAAATTTGTTTTCCAGAATACCCTCAGCCTTCTATCTTATCAAGTTGTACCTTTGGGTTACTCCTCAGGCTACTCTATTTTTCTATTATCATCAGTCTGTCTTAGCTGGTATCAAGTTTGAAAAAGGCAAAACCTAAAATGAGAGTCCTGAGAATGAACTGATTAGTGGTGAAAATGTTTTGATGGGAAAACTGCTACTAAGTGACCCACTTTCAACTCCAGTAAACCTAGCCTGGATATTTTTCCTGGAGCACTCAGGCAAGTATTTAGGGGAGATGGCACTATTCAACCTCCGCATTTGCTGTTTGCTAAGCCCTGACTAGACTCTCAGAGTGCCTACTATTTATCAGACAGTATACTGAAAATACCTTTTCAGAATAATGAACTTCTGTTGTATTGTAAATTATTAATACAAATAGCAGTTTGGTGATAAATTACATTAATAATTTTGAATCAGGTATAATAGTCAAATGATTACTACTCAAGCTAAACATTCAATTATTTGTGCTCTGCTGGGATTATGCTTGTATATGTATGTTTTGCTCTATTTTTAAACTATACGTAATAGAGGATCAGCAAAATCAGAAGATTATAAGTTGTTTACATCTGAGGTGTGCTGTAGTGGTACAAAGCATGTGTGTGTTTGCAAAGTAAAATGTATACATGCATGCACGAAAGATAAATTGCATGGTATGACACATTAGAATGCAAATAGTTGTAATAACTTGAATGCTTTGGTATGTTTAGATTATAAGCAGCTAGTTGAATTTGGAGGTTTTCTCACAAATACCAACTATGTTAGGTGGGTTTTTTAAATTAATTTTTAAAAATTTATCTGCAGTTGGTACACAAGATATTAGTTTCAGGTGTATAATATAGTGATTCAGTGTCTTCATACCTTATAATATGATCATCCCTCTAATTCTAGTAATTATCTGTTGTTGTGCCAGTTTATCACAGTATTACTGACTATATTCTGCTTTACCTTTCTCATTCATTCCCTCCCCTCCAGTACCTGCCCTCTGAGCTTTGTTTCTGTGAGGTTGGTTTTATTTTGTTGTACTTGCTCATTTGGGATTTTTGTTAGATTTCACATATAAGCAAAACCACACTGTATTTGTCATTCTCTGACTGACTTATTTCACTTCGCCTGATACCCACTAGGTCCATGTACGTTGCGGCAAATGACAGGATTTCATCCTGTCTTGTGTAATATTCCATTATATATTTATACTGTATCTTCTTTACCCATTTATCTAGCTATGGACATGTAGGTTGCTTCCGTAGCTTGGCTATTGTAAATAATGCTGCAGTGAACATAAGGGTGCATACATCTTTTTAAATCAGTATTTGTGTTTTCTTCAGATATACACCCAGATATAGAATTGCTGGGTCATCTGGTAGATCCATTTTTAGTTTTTTGAGGAATTCCCATACTGTATTGTGGGAGTGACTTCTTCGAGAGTCCCCGAGTGCCACAGACGAAAGCGAATATGACAGAGACATGATGAGATCTACTTAGCGGATGAGGATTGGGCTGTGGCCAGTTTCTCAGGGGAGATAAAGGCCAGCAGCAGCCAGTTTCTCCGAGGAGAAAAAGGCCTCGAGCCCCCTCATCCATAGC